GTTTATATCAAGTGAATCCCTATGGGTTTAAGGTTAAAATTAAATAAGATACTATAAATAGTTTTCAAAAAAAAAAAATCTGACTAAAAAGAAAAATATGTCATACAAAATAAACATAGGGAGTAATAGATAAGAATTTAAATTTTATACATTGACAAAATAAAACTATTATTTATACAGTTAACGTAATTTATTCTCGCATATATATTTACGCTCGCTGTGTGTACGCTTAATAAATTAAGAAAAATATAAGTTTTAATCTTCTCTTGTCCAAACAAACGCGTATCAGGCGAACGACTAAATGGAGAAAACACACGTAAAATAGTATTTAATCATAAATGTGAACCACGTGGAATTTGATGCTAACAGAGTAAGTATTAATTAATAATGGAGTTTTGACTAACGTCGCACCCTCCTCGCCAATGTTGGTGCATATATTTTAAAGCATTCATACTTCACAATTAATTCAGTCCACCTATAAAGTATTCATATTATATATATTCACACTCAAACGTGAAACATAGAATTAGCATCACTTGGTTGAAATTTCAAGTTTAGATATTCATATTGCTTTCCACGTTGAACGTTAATCATGCCTGTATCCTAATTATTTGGAGCAGGTCCGAGATTAATTAATTGCAATACATTTTACATGACAAATAAAATAAATCAATATTAACTTTGACTGTTTGATCGGTTCAAATTCAATAACGCCATTGTGAATATAAATGTAAGTCGAGTAAGTCATACAACTAAGTGAAAGATACAACAACTACATACCCAGTATTTATCCTATACCGTGGGGTCTGGGGAGGGTAGTGTGTACGCAGACCTTATCCCTACCTTGTGAGGATAGAGAGGCTGTTTCCAATAGACCCTCGGCTTAAGATAGTATAAGTACCACATTATAAATAAAAATATAGGCAAGAAGAGACAATATCAAAAAGCCATATAAAAGCAGAATAACACAACAAGACAGTAAAGTGATCAGCAATGAAAGAAAATAATTGTTAGTCATAAAAACCTACTACCAATCAGAAAATGAGACTGCGTGCCAATACTAAAGTTGTGAACACTCTACACTACCTACTCTACTACTCTAATTCTCGACCTCCATACATTCCTATCAAGAGTCATGTCCTCGGTCAGCTGAAGTTGCGCCATGTCTTGCCTAATCACTTCTCCCCACCTCTTCTTTGGCCTACCTCTGCCTCTCCGTAGGCCTCCAATGTCAACCTCTCACACCTCCTCACCGGGGCGTCTGTGCTCCTCCTCCTCACATGACCAAACCACCAAAGCCGCGCTTCCCGCATCTTGTCCTCAATAGAGGCCACCCCTACCTTATCGCGAATAACCTCATTTCTGATCTTATCTAACCTGGTGTACCCGCACATCCACCTCAGCATCCTCATCTCTGCTACCTTCATCTTTTGGACATGAGCAATCTTGACTGGCCAACACTCAGCCCCATACAACATCGTTGGTCTGACAACCATTTTGTAGAACTTACCCTTAAGTTTCGGTGGCACCTTCTTGTCACACAAAACACCGGAAGCGAGTCTCCATTTCATCCATCCCGCCCTAATACGATGCGACATCTCCATCAATCTCCCCGTCCCCCTGAATAATAGACCCGAGGTACTTAAAACTCCTTCTCCTAGGGATGACCTGCGAGTCCAGTCTCACCTCCCCTTCCCCTCCTAAAGTCTCGCCGCTGAACTTACACTCCAAGTGAAAGATATATAGCGTAAATCGTCACCATTATTAGAGACATGTAATTAAGTTTCTAATCATGCCATTAACTTTTACCATTGTAAATCAGTTGGTAATTAAAATCAACTTGATCATTATATATTGCTATGAGTTATTAATTGCAAAATTAAGATTCAGTTTTTATGACGAATCAAGGGAGAGTGCGGGAAGCACAAGAAACTATAAAGGAATAAATTATTAAGGAAACTTTTGGGAAAGATGATTAAGGAATATGGTGAGGAAAACGAGTGACGTTTAAAGTAAATGACTGACTTGGGTCAAGTAGATTTGGTCTACAAAATACTCCTTCGTGACATATAAGCAATTAATTAGACTTCCGTCCTACTTTAACAAACTTTTCTTTGTCTTTTATAATATTTTAAATTATTAATAAGCATTGTAACTTATTGTACTTTCTAGATAGTTTTACCAAACAAACAAGTAAATTTTATTTTAAAATTTTTAAAGCTTCTATACCGAATTCACGATCAAAACTTAGAAGCTTGATCCACAAATTCGAACGATGACACATAAAATGGGACATAGGGCGTTTAAAAAATGCAACAGTAGTAATACTTTTTCTCTTCAATTTATGTGATTTTTTTTGGATAGTCTCAAAAGAAAAATTACACCTCTTTATATTTAGTAAATATTAAACTTTAAACTTTTATTTTACTTCTAATAAGATGTTAGCTTATAGCCATACATATTTATTACTATTTATTTTAGACCATAAATTTCAAAATGCTTTCTTTCCTTATTAAACTCAATGCATAATCAAGCACCATCATCACATAAATTGAGACTTGAAGGAATGGTATTCAGTAATTTGATGAAGCCAGGATGTTGTACTAATATTTACACAATTAACATAATTGCGATGTGTACTCTTAAATTAATTAAAAAGATATATATGTTTTTAATTTTCTCTTGTATATAAACATATATCCGAACAACTAAACGGGAAAAGACACGTAAAACAATATTTAATCAGCATGCGAGGTACGTGGATTTTAATGTTAATATAGTATATTGAATAGTGGTAAAGGAGTTTTGACTCTTCATTAACACGTCGCGCCCTCCTCGCCATGTTTGCGCATCTTTTAGCCTTTAATACGCTTATTATTTTTATTTTTTACATATATAGATACAAATATATATTGTATATGTATGGACTAAGATAAATTATATTGTATTTATATCTTGGCCCATGTGGAACTGCTCTTCTTTTAGTATGTTATACTATTATTTATGTTTATTAATTTCAAAGTAATTGAACATTACGCACAAGTCACAACTATAAGAGTAAAGTTATAAATCTATAATTAAATGTTATGTGAATTGCTCTAAAATACAAATGGTTGAAATGTTAAATTTTCGGAGAGGACTGTAAAATGTCATTTGGCCCGCACTTTACTACTCTATATATATATTTAAAAAAAAATACAAGAATCCGCCGTGTCAAAATTAGATATTGATTCCACAAATTTAAGTTAACAAAAATTAAATAAATAGAACATATTTATGACTTAAATTATACTTCTGCTTTGTTGTCTTCACCTCTGTGTCTTCTTTTCGAGCCGTATGTTTGTATGCAGACAAATGGAAAATATACTATATGTTTTTGCTATTGATATACTACAATAGTGACTTATTGTGCTTATTTCAGACAAAGATTCATGGTTGTTGTTTTTATAGAGGTTAACATAAATTATAACCACCTTTTTTTGCCTTATTCTTGATCTGTGTTTGTACATATAAATTGTATACTGTATTTTTTTTATTCACCTATGTGAAACTTCCTTTTTCAAGTGTGTATATATATATACACATATTAAAAATAATTATATAGTACCCTGTTTTTATCGCCTTCACCTTTATGAAACTTAATTTCTACATTATGTTGCTATAAAGATCCGTATTTATGTACTGCGCGCTAGCATATATTTTAATTATTTTACCACATTTTGTCTTCACCTGCATCCATGAAGATTCTGTCTTTAAATATACTGTTGCAATAATCTGTTTTTGTATTCAAAGTAAGAGAAATTATGTTGTAGTTTTGTCTTCACCTCTATTATTTTATATTTTAAATTTAAATAAATCTACAGTATATGTTACAGCGACTATGATAACTATTTCTACTGTATTTTAGACTTCACCTCTGTGGAACTTCTTTTTTAGTCTATTAATTCTATATTAATTTGTTAATTATATCCAGATTAAGATAAAATATGTATGGTTTTGTCTTCACCCCAGGACACTTCATTTTTTAATATACTGCTACAATTATATGGACAAAGATGTATGTAAATTATTTTGTCTTCACCTCCGTGAAACTTAAGTATACTGTAACAAGTGCGACGTGTCACCTAATACAAAGTATATAATATATTTTGTCATCACCTATATGGAATATCTTTTCTAATTATACTACTACAATGATATATGCTAACGTACAATTTGGATTAATTAAACTATACTTATGTCTTTATATTCAGATTAACATTAATCATATTCTAACATTGTCTTCACCTCTGTAAAACTTACAGCTGCAAGTGTTACTTAGTTTCCCACCCGATATTAGGTACCCGCTTTGAAGCTCGAATTAGAAGTTTCTGGTTAATAATATAGGAGTAGTTACCAACCGACCACAACCTTTAGGGGTCGTTTGGTAGGAGGTATTAGAAAAAATAATGCAAGCATTACCTTTATGCATTATAAATACCTTGTTTGGACATTTTCTCAACCTGTGTATAACTAATACAAGTATAAGTAATGCATAGAAAACCATGACATTAGTAATATCAATGCTATTAATGCATGCATTAGTATGGTTAAAGACAAAATTGTCCTTAAAGTCCCTTAAAACTAGAGAATATGGAGGGCATTTTTGTAAACAACTATTTTTCTAAAGAATTATGCAATGCATTATAATTTTAATATACCACAGCAAACAGTAAATAAGAAATAATATCTGCATAACTAATGCTTGCATTACTAACTCATGCATTACTAATCCATGCATTACTAATACAGCTCATTGCGCTCTATTCTTATACAGCCTACCAAACGACCCCTTAGTGGTGTTTAATTATATACACATTTAAATAACAAATAAAATATACACTACCTTTTTTTTGTATTCACTTTCTATGAAACTTCCTAACAAGTACAGAGAGTAGACCAACACCCATAAATGGAAGAATGCACCCGTTATATTCTTTAGAAATTTTTCCCGCGTAAAGCTTCATTTTCCATCAATCTTCTTATTGTATCTTTTCTTCTTTGGATTTGCAACTATATATGATGAGAGCAATTTGCAAGTTTTTTTAGGACATTATCTGATGTCAATTTATATTCTTTTAAGGAATAATTAATCTGGGATTTTAAAGTTAATCAAAATTTAAGTAAAGTCAACTTACTCCATTAGAGAGAGAAGATCAACCAAATTATAAGCTAACATTTCTTCCCACGTTGTTTTTCTTGCCACTGTTCCACTTTTTACCATACATAAATTTGAAGTCAACACTCTCCTTTTCTTTCTTCATTTCACCTTTTGAATTCAGAAGTGTCTGTTTGTGTCATTATAAAGACTAGAGCTTTTTGAGGGTAAGATTAATATTTCTCTTCCCATTGTTTGTGCAAGTTATAGTGGTTGGGTTTTAAAGCTATTTTTATGGAAGCATTTATCTGGGGTTCTGTTCTTTGAATATATTATTCATTTATTCTTTGGTGGGTGTGAGAAAGTTTTGATTTTCTAGGAGGAGTTCTGTTTCTGGGCAATTGAAAAAGGGTTCTTCTTGAAAAACTCCCTTGCCTTGCTGGAAAAACTAAAATAATTTCTTCTTTTTTTTTCACCTTAATTTGGTACTTTATTCTGATTGGAATTTGGGTGATAGACAAAGATAAGGATAAAAATGAAGACAGGTAGAAGGAAAAGGATACAGTTTAGCAAGATTTACTCATTTAAATGTGGGGAAGCATCATTTTTAGGTGATGATCATTCACAGATTGGAGGGCCAGGATATTCAAGAGTGGTGTATTGCAATGAACCAAATTGTTTTGAGGCTGGAATTAGAGATTATGCAGGAAATTATGTAAGAACTACAAAGTATACAGCTGCAACATTCTTGCCAAAGTCATTGTTTGAGCAGTTCAGGAGGGTGGCCAACTTTTATTTTCTTGTCATTGCTATATTGTCCTTCACACCATTGACTCCTTATTCTGCTGCCAGTGCTGTTGTTATTCCTCTTGTTATTGTCATTGGAGCCACCATGGTTAAAGAAGGCGTCGAAGATGGGCGACGAAAACAACAGGTATTTAGAGTCAATCAGTTCTGCTCTTTAGCTATTGTTTTTTCCATCTATTTTTCTATTCCTTAGGTTGCTGCTACTATCTTTATGGCCTTTGTTTTTGTTACTGTTCTATTGTTTCGTTTCGTCTTCATGAGCGAGGGTCCTTCAGAAACACCGAAGGGTAGGGGTAAGGTCAGCGTACACACTTCCCTCTCCAGACTCCACTTGTGGGATTATACTCGATTATTGTTGTTGTTGTTGAGTTCTGCTCTTTATATATCTGTCTATTCTAGGGTATTTACAGTTAATTAGGTAGTAATTGTTTATCAGTTCAAATATAGCAAAAGTACCTTTTTGCAATAACACTGTTAATTATGTCTTAGAATATGAAGTCTAGTTTCAGGCTTTGGCATTTCATCTGGTGCTGCCAAATATGATACATTCACATTTTATTGTTACCGCTGGACTCTCCTTTTTAGTATACAAATACGGGTAGTTTATACGATTATCATTTTCCATTTTTCCCTTTCAGGATGTTGAGGTAAATAATAGGAAGGTTAAAGTACATCAAGAAAATGGAGTTTTTGATCATACGGAATGGAAAAATTTGAGAGTTGGCGATATTGTTAAAGTGGAGAAGGATGAGTTCTTTCCAGCGGACTTACTGTTGCTTTCATCTAGTTATGAAGATGCAGTCTGTTATGTTGAAACTATGAATCTTGATGGGGAGACTAATTTGAAGCTGAAACAAGCATTGGGGGGGACTTCATCGTTGCACGAAGATTCCCACTTCGAAGACTTTAAGGCTTTTGTTAAGTGTGAAGATCCTAATGCTAATTTATATACTTTTGTTGGAACTATGGAATATGAAGAAAAACATTATCCTCTTTCTCCCCAGCAATTGCTACTCAGAGGCTCTAAATTGCGGAACACAGATTACATATATGGGGCTGTTATCTTCACTGGTCACGACACAAAGGTAATGCAGAATGCGACAGATCCTCCTTCAAAAAGAAGCAGAGTTGAGAGGAAAATGGATAAAATCGTTTACTTCTTATTTGGAGTTTTGTTCACTATGTCCTTTGTCGGATCAGTTTGCTTTGGAATTCTGACTAAAGAGGACTTAAATGGTGGACGTAAAAGGTGGTATCTACGACCTGATGAATCTGACATATATTTCGATCCCAATGGAGCTACTGCTGCTGCCATTTACCATTTTCTGACAGCCGTGATGTTGTATAGCTACTTGATTCCGATATCTTTATATGTGTCCATAGAACTTGTTAAAGTTCTTCAGACTATCTTCATTAATCAGGACATTCATATGTATCATGAAGAAACTGATAAACCAGCACATGCCCGCACCTCAAATTTGAATGAGGAACTTGGCCAGGTTGACACTATACTTTCAGACAAAACCGGCACATTGACTTGTAATTCAATGGAGTTTGTCAAGTGCTCAGTGGCTGGAACTGCTTATGGACGTGGTATTACAGAAGTCGAGAGGGCTTTGGCTAAAAGAAATGGTTCTCCATTGATGGTAAATGATCAGAAGTTGGTTGAGGATTCTGCTGTTAGTACAAGAAAGTCTACTATTAAAGGTTTCAATTTTGTTGACGAGCGAATAATGAATGGGAGTTGGGTGCATGAACCTCATTTAGATGTCATACAGAAATTCTTCCGTTTATTAGCAGTGTGTCATACAGTCATACCAGAAGTGGATGAAGGTACAAGGGAGATTTCATATGAAGCTGAATCTCCAGATGAGGCGGCCTTTGTAATTGCAGCTAAAGAAATTGGCTTTGAATTATGCAAAAGGACACAAACAAGCGTGTCAGTGCATGAGTTGGATCTAGCATCTGGCAAGAAAGTTGAGAGGTTAGTTAACGTCAAATATGTCTCTGTAAGTACTTTATATATAATGCAAAGTATACTCCTAGAACAAGATGTTTTATATTTATATGTTAGACTGTGACAAGTGAGAACATAGCGCAGCTCTTTTGTTCTGTTTATTTGGTTCTTTCATTTATCTCACTTGTCTCGTGTGTCTTTTACCTGTTTCTCCATCGCGTTGACACTTGAATACATTGTCGGGAGATATTTTATGTTTAACATAAACAGCCTAGTATCAATGACATTCTAATTTTGTGGATCTACTAAAATGATGTTTTACCTATATGAAAGCTTTGCATGATCACAGAGTGAAGCCGTTTTGAGATCTTAATGCAAATAAAACTGTCCTGATATTGAATTTTTGCTATAAGCAGCACAAGATGATATCAAGAGTAATCGTAGATTTGTTTTGTTTGCAGGTCGTATAGAATTTTGAATGTTTTGGAGTTTAATAGTACAAGAAAAAGGATGTCTGTAATAGTAAAGGATGAGGAGGGAAAGATATTGTTACTTTGCAAAGGTGCTGATAGGTAAGTTCAATTGCAACTTCACAAGCACCATAAATTCCTTAAATTCTTACATTAGTTGCTGGTTTTGTTTACGTTTCCCTTCTAATCTTATCTTTCTGGTTATGGTACTTTATGCAGTGTCATATTTGAAAGGCTCGCCAAAAGTGGAAGGGAATTTGAAGAGGAAACAAGGGAACATGTACATGAGTATGCTGATGCAGGCTTGAGGACCTTAATACTGGCCTATCGCGAAATCAGTAAGGAAGAATACCAAGTATTCAATGAGCAATTTTCAGAGGCCAAGAATTCAGTCACTGCAGACCGTGATGCATTGATTGATGAAGCAACTGAAAAGATTGAAAAGGAGTTGATTCTTTTAGGCGCCACTGCTGTTGAGGACAAACTACAACAAGGGGTAAGTTTTATTAAGTCACAACTCTCTTCCCACCTATCACCATTTGGATGTGTTACTGATTTTTTTCCCTGTTGTTCATCGGTAGGTTCCTGAATGCATCGACAAACTCGCTCAAGCAGGCATCAAGATATGGGTTTTGACCGGGGATAAGATGGAAACAGCCATTAATATTGGGTAAAGTATTTGGTTATGAGTTTTCAATTTCTTATTTGATTCGAGCATTGCTTGTCTAATCTTCTTTTATCCATAATATCTTCTGCAGCTATGCCTGTAGTTTGCTTAGACAAGGAATGAAGCAAATTATCGTAAACTTGGAAAACCCTGATATTATAGCAATAGAGAAAGCAGGAGAAAAAGATGCTATTGCCAGGGTAAAAACATACTTTTTGGGTCACATTCCTTAGTAGAAGACTAAAAGTTAATTGATTGAAATATTACCTTGCAATATCTGATAATAGAGGGTTTTTGCTACGCGATTTCTAATAGGCATCAAAGGAAAGTGTGCTACGGCAAATTATAGAAGGGAAGGCTCTACTTACGTCTTCAAGCACAGAGGCATTTGCTTTGATCATTGATGGGAAATCTCTTACATATGCTCTAGAAGATGACACAAAAAGATTGTTTTTAGATCTTGCAATTAGATGTGCTGCTGTTATATGCTGTCGATCATCACCTAAACAGAAGGCATTGGTGAGTACAACTTGTCTTAACAACCAAAACAAATTGCTAGTATTAAATTTTGAGGCATTTGGCCTTCTCTCTTGTATTTTTTCTGTAATTTAATGTCTCATTTTTCCTGTGCTTAGTTTGATCTTCCCTAAGCATACCGCTCTTTGGAATATACAGGTAACAAGACTTGTTAAATTTGGCACTAAAAAGACAACTTTGGCCATCGGAGACGGAGCTAATGATGTAGGAATGCTTCAAGAAGCTGATATTGGAATTGGAATCAGTGGTGTTGAAGGAATGCAGGTGAGAGCATATACAATTTCTCTTGCCCTTTGCAGCAATACACATTTCTACTTCATGCATCAGTCCTAAACTATTGTGTCTTAATCTTGTTTTTCGTGTTTCACACTTGTTAGGCTGTTATGTCAAGTGATATTGCAATTGCTCAGTTCCAATTTTTGGAGCGCTTGCTTTTAGTACATGGCCATTGGTGTTATAGAAGGATCTCTTCGATGGTAATCTATTTGCTACTTCATTTCTTCCTTATATATATTGTTCGAAAACTAACTTGTTTCCTTCTATGGAATTGTTTCAAGCGTAAAGAAACTATTTATAGTCTTTGTGGAGCGGTCTTGTAACTGGCTTTTCTTTTCTTTGCAGATATGCTACTTCTTCTACAAAAACGTTGCATTTGGTTTTACTCTCTTCTTATACGAGTCGTATGCATCATTTTCTGGGCAACTTGCATATAATGATTGGTTTCTGGCATGTTACAACGTCTTCTTCACATCACTACCAGTGATTGCTTTGGGAGTTTTCGATCAAGATGTATCTGCTCGATATTGTCTTAAGGTAATTCCGACTTCACGCTGTGCTGATACTTTATTTAACTCTTGTACAGTCAGACCTCTCTATAACAACATCCTTATATAACAACACTTCACTATAAAAGCCAAGTTTTTTTCGGAACCAAATATCTTGTTTTGTTATAATATATGTTCTCTATAACAACAATTCGCTATAACATCCAAAAACATCCGGAACGAACGATGTTGTTATAGAGAGGCTGTAGTATTAACTTTTGTAGCTATTGTACATGGCTGTAATATAGCTGTGTCAACGACAGCACGAAAAACAACTTTAGGTTGCTTAATTTCATGTTGATCCTAATTATTTTCGGGTATTTTATGGCAGTTTCCTATACTGTATCAAGAAGGTATACAGAATGTCCTTTTCAGCTGGCGTCGTATAATTGGATGGATGTTAAATGGGATCTGCAGTGCAGTTATTATCTTCTTCATCTGCATAAGAGTACTAGATCCTCAAGCTTTCAATAAGGATGGTAAAACCGGTGACCATGCAATTGTGGGAGCAACAATGTACACATGTGTGGTTTGGGTCGTCAACTGTCAAATGGCGCTTGCTGTTAGTTATTTCACCTTAATCCAACACATCCTTATCTGGGGTGGAATTGCTCTATGGTACACTTTCCTTCTAATATATGGATCCATGCCTACAACATTTTCCACCAACGCGTACCAAGTCTTCGCGGAAACTCTTGTTCCCTCCCCATTATACTGGTTAGTCACAATATTAGTGGTTATTTCAGCTTTAGTCCCCTACTTTGCATACGATGCAATTCAGTTTCGGTTCTTTCCAATGTACCATGGGATGATTCAATGGATAAGGTACGAGGGGAACTCAAATGACCCGGAATACTGCAATGATGTGAGGCAGAGGTCGATAAGACTGACAACTGTGGGCGTCACTGCTCGTTCCATAGCAAGTACTAATTCAAGTCTAAAAGACAAAAAGAGTAATCACAGATACCATCTGATTAGAGTACTCTCAAGAAGATAAGACTTTAGACCTACAAAAGACAGTTTTTTGAACTGGAATTTTCTCCAGAAGTTTGTAAATTTCTCCCACAGGTTACATGTGTATATAATTCTTTTATATCTTGGTAGAATTATAAGATCGTCTTTGTTGAATACTGGAAGACGCGTGGCAGATGAAGTAAGTTGCCACAGGAAAGATCAGATTAGGATTCTCTTTTAAGAAATTATCATGTGTACATTTTTATAGCAAGCAGTACAGAATGATCAAATTTTCTGTTTGGAATCATGTATTTGTACACTTCAATATAAGAAATTTGCCTATATGCATTCTCTGGGAGTTATACATTCATAGCAATCAAAGCTGCAAAAATTCCAGCAAGTTGTTTTGCTTTAATCAGCTTTTTGAAAAAGAAATGAAAAGGTAAAACTGCAGATTGCAGATGAAATGTCAATATGAAGACATAACATGCCAATATAATAGTTACAAGAGTTAAAAAAGACATTACAACTTCATCAATTATCCTTCTCCTCCTTAATTCAAATACATCGAGGTTCGCGTAACCTCAATACAATATTCTTTCTACGCCAAATATATCCCTTAAACTTGTTAGTATATTTCATTTAGATGTAAAGGGGGACATATAGAATCCTATAATCTAACCTTAAAAAACACAAAAGCTAAAATTAAAAAATCGTAAACATAAAAATACAATACAACAAAGGTCTATTAAACCGAGTCAATATCATCCAAATCTGTCTACAATCCATCAACAAAAGATTCATTTTTTTTAACGTTAACGATGCCATGTTGGATGAAAATGACACGAAAGGCCACCTTATAAACATACCGAAATTAATTAAACCATCAGTTAAGAGACAGTTAGGCCAAGAAAATCAGTAGCAGATTTTCCAAGAATATTAGCAAACTCAGTGAAACTTATTACACCATCTCCATTCGTATCAGCTTCTTGCATGAGATTTGATAATTCTCGGTACGTTAAAGGATGACCCATTTTGGCCATTTGTCCGGCGAGTTCAGCGGCGGTAATGTAGCCATTACCGTCGCGATCGAACGACCGGAAAAGCTCCATGAGCTGATCTTGATTCATTAAAATATCTTCATTCATATCAGGCATTATGGCATTTACGAGTTCGTCGAATTCGATGGATCCGTTGCCATTGTGGTCTATTTTGGCGAGTAATGTGTGGAGTTGATCGCCGCCGGGTTTGAGACCGAGAGAGCGGAGGAGGGCGGCGAGTTCTAGTTGTGTTAGGCTGCCGTCGCCGTCAAGGTCGAAACGCATGAATATGTCTTTTAGCTGTTTGAGTTGATCAGATTTTAGAGTAGTCATCATTATGAAAAGGAGGAAGAAAAAGAAGGAATGAAATGGTGGAAGTTTTTGGTTATGGAGATTGTTTTGGGGGTGTGTGTGGTGGGGGGGGTGGGGGGTGGGGGGGGAGGGGTAGTGGAGTAGGGAAAGGAAAGGAAAGGAAAAGGGAA